CCACAAGAGGCTTGAAAGCCTCTGGTGAAGATTTCTTCCTGAACTCATCCCCAAGAGGCCACGGCAGCTCCCCTGCCCCTTGCAGACTGTACACATAGTCAGGAAAGAGTCTGTGCTGTTAGTAACATTGGTCAGATCTGACCTTTGTTTGGTACTTTGCAGCTTTTCAAGACTGACTGCCATCATGAGAAAAGCACTAGTTCAAGTGCTGCTCTGATAGCCAGGTAAGTCTGGGCCTAAACTTCTCTAGCAATAAAATGGTACCTTCCCTCCCTGGTCCCAGTCACAAGTGCCCTGCTCACATCCGGTGAACTCTGTAGGGGGCGCTATGCTGGACTTCTCAGACTTCACACACTCCCTGAGAGGAACAGACTACCAAGGAGGAAACAATGGGAGCAGAGGCGGAAGCCAGACAGTGTAGCTTCCAGTTCCCTGGTTCTCTGAGAGACACCAGGTAAGAAGTCCTGTGCAGGTCCCTGGTTTTCCCTGAAAAGACTGGCCCCCATCACCCTGGCCGAGTAACCAAGCCAAGGGGCTGCTTCCCATGCTTCCTGCCATGGAACCAGTTTCCTAGGTCCTCAGTACTGTCGGCAAGGCCCATGCCAGGCTAGGGGAAGGTCATTGACACACTGTGGGTCTCCATGTGCAAAAACGCACACAGTGAGGTAGCAAGAGAACTGGGTCAGAGCCTCAAGTCACAGGTCAGCCACAGGGTGAGCCAGCCTGCTTGCTGGCAACCCCTTGTCGGACTTTGGCTGCCCGTGCTATGAGTGAGTAAAACATCCCTGTTTACTTACTTTGGGACTTTGTGAGGGTTTATGAGACAATGATACCGAAGGGCTTAGAAACCTTAAACTATCATGCTACAATTTATAACAACTTTCACATCCGTTACACATTTTCTTCTCATAATGTTTGGAGTGTCACCTGGGTCCCCAAGCCCTTGCCCTCTGTCACTACCCATTGTGTTCACCTTCCAAATGATGATTATCTAGGACATGTCCTGGCACCCCAGTCCTCAGGTCCTCTTTGTCCCTCCCTGTCTGTTCCATACAGCCAATAGCTAGTGAGCAGCTTTTTTTTTTCTTCTTAAGCTCCCAGTGGTCCTGGCCTCCCATAGTCACCCCTGCCTAATCCCTTCCTGGTGAGAGTGGGTTGGACCTACTGACTTGTTTCTAATGACAAGGATATGGTCAAAGCGAGAGCCTAGCCCTTCCTTGATTAGGTTACAAAGAACTGTGACTTCACCTGGCTAGCACTCTCTTTCTCTTGCTTTCTCTATGAAGCAAGCTGCCATGTTGTAAGACGCTGTGTGGAGAGGCCCACGTAGAAAGAAGCCACCAGACCCATGAGAACCTGCAGTCTTAGCCCAACTAAAGAAAGAACAGGACCCTGCCAACAGCCACACAAGTGAGCTAGGAAGTGGGTCCTTCCTGCTGTGTCTTCAGATGGTTGATTGTTGGCTTGTGGGAGATGCTGAAGTACAGGATCCAGTAAGCTAGGCCATCGAAATGCAGTCTCTGTTTTGGGGTGATTTGTTATGAAGCAGTAGATGATTGATACACAGGAGACTCACGCCAACCACAGTACTCAGCCAGAGTGCATAGGATGCACAAGCACACGTGCACACAAAGATGGCCTGGTCTCTTCCTTGTTCTTTTCCTCACAGGGTAGAAGATTTGGATCCTCCTACCAAGTCAGCAAGACCTGTTGAGGGACCCTGAAGTCTGGGACTCCACACTTGGCACTCCTGAAGCTCAGAGGGAGCCAAGAGACTGGGAAGCCCTCCTGAGATGACAAAGGAAAGGAGGACAGGAAACTGATCCCTAAGGAGCCTGGACTTGGGACTCCAGTTAGCCAGCCAGGTGACACTGAGTATTTCATGATTTCCATGGACAGGATCCAAGTTTCACAATAGCCAAAATCTACTTTGTAGCCTTTTAAAAAATGACTAGGTGCCATGTGGATAAATGCAGATTCAACCCACTTTCTTTTGGCTGTTAAATCTGACATGATGATTAGAATTAACTACTCCAAAAGGCAACGAGTAACCGCATTACAACCTTAAGCGTGAGGCTTAGCTTTTGAGACTTCAGCCAACACCATGCCGAGCTGAGTTCTGCTCTCAAGCTGTGTTTAGACACTGTTTGAAAGAGATGTAATGTTTCCTTCTGTGTCTTCGGAACAAACGCTGCAAGGAAAATCTACATGTGAGCAAGAGATTTCTGAGTGTGCCATTAAAAAAATTACAATCCGTTTTATTATCAAGTAAGACTGAATTTAAAAAAGAAAAAAGCCACACGGGGCCAACTGGGGAAACCAGGATGGGTAGCCATGTGTGAAAAAGGCTTAGTGACTGTTAAGCTTCCTGTGAGTCAGGAGTGACATGAGGCTGCCTAATAGCGAATTTATTGAGGCTGCATTAAAAGAAGTAGGGCACCCAAAATGAGGAGGTGATGATCCTGCCTGACTTTTGGCCTTTGCCTTGTTCCGGATGTCTGGGACGCTTCTGAGCCTCACTCTGGAATATATCATGAGCAGACGAGTGGACTGTAAACCCAAGTCCTAGGAGAATGAGCTATGTAGTCTGAAGAAAATCAGACTGGGGCACGTTCCCCTTTCTTCAAGTCTGAGGAGCCTCCAGGGCAGAGAAGGGGGAGTGGGGTGCACACAGAATCAATGCTCTGTAGCATCAGATTTCAGCTAATAAAAGAAAGAAGTTTCCAATGGTTGGAGGCAGCCAAGGGTGAAGCTGGCTGCCTGGGGCAGGAGTAAGCTCCCTGCTCTGGAAGTGTGTCCAAGCAGGGCTGAAAAGGCAGCCAGAGGAGATGTAGGAGAACCCACTCCTTGTGTGGGGGTTGAACCCAAACAACTTCCCAAGA